TCCACAAAAAAAAAAAAAAAAAAAACTTTTGTGAATCAAAAAATGTGTGTGGGGGGGAAGGTTTTGCATAGAAGGGAGGGAGGGAAAAGGAAAAAACTGATAAAAGTATGATTAATTGACAAAATATGAAAAGCTATTTGCTGATAATGTATATAGTAATATCTTTGTCTTGACTAAACATGCACAGTATTTATTTTGGAAAAAAACGTATAATGTAAAGACATGTGATTAAATGTAAATAAATTTTAAAATAAATAAGAAAAAAATTTTTAAAAGAATATTGTACGTTTTAAAAATTATTTCAAAGGTAGATCTCATTTTAAGTATTCTTACCACAGTAAAATTAAAAAAAGAGCTTATGATAAATATAAATTGAAAAAATTGTTCAGTTCCTTGGGGACTATGACTTTAAAAAACAAGGCGTAGGGACCAACAGATGGCATAATGGTTACGTCGTTGACCACAGTTTGAGTCCTGGACCCAGTGGCTTAAAACTCACGCTGGGTGTGTGTGCATGCATGCCCAAAATCCTGAGAGGAGAATGGAGGAGAAGGGACTGCAGTGTGGCCATCCCCCCGGGGGGTGATTTCTCGCTTTTCTGTCTCTCTCTCTCTCTCTTTCTGGCAAGTGCACACATCCTATAGCAAAAACCTCTCCAAAAAACAAAAACAAAAAAACAACAACTGTGGGTAGGGGGAGATGGTCTGGTACAAGAATAGAAAACACATTATCTGAAACTTTAGTCTAGTACTTCGAAAGGTACACCATTAGACATTCACTACAATGAAACACATCCTTCTAGGCCACCAGACTGGAGTGGTAGCATGGCCAAGAAGGTATTCTTTGGCTGAAGTATGACATTACTGACCTGAAGCTGATCCACTCTAACTCCCATTTTCTCATTTTCTGAGGACATCTTCTGGTTGTGTTCTTTCAGTCTGTGGAGGTGAAGAAGACAAGGTAAAACATTCACTTATTCCAGGTCAGCTTCCCTGGCCTTAAATGACTTAAGACTAGCATGGCCCTAAGCCTGTAGAGTTCTTTTAAAATCCACTAGTCTCCACTACAGTCCTGTTTTGGCTTCCTGTCTCCAAATAATTCCAAGTATTCAATCTCTACTACTTGAATTTGGATTATTTCTTCTGACTATTTTGATAACTATTCCCTAAACTGGAGTTAAAGAACTCATGATTCAGGGCCGGCAGGTGGTGTGGTGGTAGGGGGTGCCGGACTCCCACATGGCCGATGGCAGTTTGAGTTCCGGACTTGGTGGCTTGTCTTCTCACTTTCTTTCTCTCTCTCTCTGTCCTTCTCTGGTCAAATTAAAAATAAATAAATAAAATTAAATAAAACAAGTATTTTTTAAAAAAAAGAGCTCATGATTCAAAGGGGGAGAGTCATGTCTATCGTTAAAACAGGAAGAGTGTTTTCTTTTTTTAAATTATATATTTAATTTCATTTTTTATTATATTATTATTATTTTAGTTTGAGAAAGAGGGAGAAGAAGAGAGAGAGGGGAACAGCAATTGGTGTAATGGTTATGTCGCTGGACTCCAATGTCAACTGTGGTTCGAGGCCCGGAGCTGGTGGCTTAAATTCACACAGGGGCTGGGTGTGGGACTGGACCCATGCGGCCAGCCATGTGGGATCCAGCTGACCTGAGACTATCCTTACTTTTTAAAAATTATTTAATTTTACTTACAATTATTATAGTATTGTTATTATTAATTTGCTATAGGACACTTGAACCCACCAGAGAGAGAGAGAGAGAGAGAGAAAGAAAGTAAGCCACCAGGTCTAGGACTCGAAAAATAGTTGACCATATGGGAGTCCAGCACCTTAACCACCATGTCACCTGCTGGGCCCCCAGGAAGAGTGTTTTCTAACAAATTCTGTAAATCTACTCTAGTTCTACCGAAGGTGTCTAAGACAGAGCAGTTTCTCCCATTCAGGAATAATGGGGACACACTCACTGAAGCAGCTCTGTCTCCCAACAGTCCTTCTGCTCTTTCACTTTCTGTTCCAACTTCTTATTGATGCTCTGTAGGGTTTCTAGTTCCTCCTGTAGAATGAAACATCATTAATGGAACAGACCTTTTTTTTTTATTTAAAAAATTATTTAACTTTGTTATTATTATCCAGTTTGATCAGACAGAGCGAGCAAGAGAGAGAGAGAGGGAAATCAAGAAAGCAAGCCACCAGGTTCAGGACTTGAACTGTAATTGGCCATGTGGGAGTCTAGTCCTCTGACCTGGGACAGATCTTTTTTATTCTTTTTTAATAATTATTTAACTTTCTTTCTTTCTTAATTTATTTAAATTTGACCAGAGGGCAGGGGGGAAGAGAGAGAAAGTGAGAAAGCAAGCCACCAGGTTCAGGACACTCAAACCACAGTCAGCCATGTGGGAGTCCAGCACTCCTAACCACCATGCCACCTGCCACCCCCTACCCCCCGCTTTTTTAAAAAAATTATTTAACTTTATTTATTTATTTAGGGACAGACCATTTTAAAGATACGATTTAGGATCTTAGGCAGTCAGTAAATATTTATACTAGGCACAGTATAATGCAACAGTGAATAAAATACAAAAGTAAAGATTTCCATATTAAAATATGTGTGTGCGTGTGTGTGTGTTTAGGTTTTTACCACAGGGCATGTGTGCTCACCGGAGAGACACAGAGAAGACAGTGAGGGGGAAGATGAGAAATCACCCCCCAATGGGATGGCAACACTGCAATCCCTTCTCCATTCTCCTCCTGGGGTTTTGAACATACACACACACATGCCCAGTGTGAATTTCAAGCTGCCAGGTCCAGGATTCAGACCATGGTTGGTCAAGTGAGAGTCCAATGCCTTAACCAACATGCCACCTACTGGCCCCCCGTATTAAAATGGTTTTAATATGTTCTTTCCATGTTAAAATGTATCTGCTTTCCACTGGAGCTTATATTTGTCATTAATTTATTAAACATATTTGAGAGTCTATTATATACTGGGCACTATTCTGCAGTGGACAAAATACATAGTAGCCACATTTAAGAGCAAAAGGAAACAGATTAATTTTCATAATAATATATTTAACTGAATATAGCTAAATATCATTTCAACATGTGAACAGTGAAAAGGAAGTATTTTACATTTTGTTTATATGGAATCACTGAAATCGGGTGCATATTTAATGGTTACAGTGCATCTCCATACAGACATATTTCAAATGTTCAATAGCCGGTGGCCACCACACTAGTCCTAGACATTTGTTTGTTCTCCCCCATTTCCTTCTGCTCTGAAGTTAACCTTATGTATCAATATCATCAACTCCTGATGGTTTTAGCTCTGACCTCCAATTTCTTGTTTATAAGTTTTTAGAGAAACTCTCCCTTTTAGCTTTGCTTCTAGCTTGTCAATTCTTATTCATCATCTGATTTGAAGACTGATTCAAAAAAAGGAAAAGTAACAAGGAATAGTAAACTTTAATGCTAACTTTTCTTTCTCTTGTTGTCTGTGCTCTTGTTAATCAAAGCAAATATTTCAGATTATAAATAGGCAAATGTAACCAGACTGCCTGGGATTGAAATCAGACTGCATAACTGATTACTTACCCCCTCCAAACCTCAGGTTACACATCTACAAAATTGGGATAATAACTATCTCCAAGGTTTGTCATGATGTTTAAATAATCCATATAAAACTTTTTTTTTCTTTTTTTTTTTGGAGAGGTTTTTGCTATAGGGAGCATGCGCTGGCCAGACAGACAGAGAGAGACAGAGAGACAGAAAGCGAGAAATCACCCCCCCAGGGGGAATGGCCACGCCTTAATCCTTTTTCCTCCTTTCTCCTCTCAGGATCTTGGACACGTAGGCACATGCGCCTGGCATGAGCTTAAGCCACCGGGTCTGGGACTTGAACCGCGGTCGACTATGTGGGAGTCCAGCGACATAGCCATTACGCTAACTGCTGGTCCCTAATCCATATAAAACTTTTAAGAATGTTTTTGTTTGGGACCAGCAGATGGTATAATGGTTATGTCACGGAACTTCCACATGGTCAATCGCAGTTCAAGTCCTGGACCCAGTGGCTTAAAACTCATGCTAAATGCATGTGAGTGTGCATCTAAGATCCTAAGAGGAGAATGGAGGAGAAAGGATTGCAGTGTGGCCATCCCCTCATGCAGGTAATTTCTCGCTTTCTGTCTGTCTCTCTCTGGTGAGTGTTCACGCCCAATAGCAACAATCTCTCTCTAAAAACAAACAAAACAATGTACTTGTTTGGATATTGGTATAAAGTAGTTAGATCACAAGCCAAACAGAAAATGGTGTGGGATAAGAGGTGCTATCCACCTCTAATCTACATGTTCAGAGTTCACCTTAAACCATCAGCCATACCTGCTTCCTCTGGAGCTCAGCCTGCATGTCTGAGTTCTGCTTCTGGAGGCTGACACAGGTGTCCTTCAGCTCCTGGTTTTCTTTGCAAAGTTCTTTGTTGTGCTGCTCAATCTCTTCCACTTCTCCCTATAAATGAATATCCCTTTAGCAGAAAACTCCCATAGTCTGGGATCATGAGGGTCTGATAGCTTCCCACTCTCTGTAGTGACATCTGTGTATCACAAATGGGAGCAGGTCCTCAGTAAGAGTGTAATAGAGGTATGTTTGTGTAATTGTAGCATTAAGCCTACTATTACCAAGAAAGAAAGATAAGCAAAAATTAAGGCCAGAAAATGCTAAAAGGGGGCCAGCAGGCGGCGGAGCAGTTAAGGTATTGAATTCTACATGGCCAATTCCACAGTTCTGGATCCAGCAGCTTGAAAAACACGCCAAGTGCATGTTTGTGTGCCCAAAATCCTAAGAGGAGAATGGAGGAGAAGGTACTGCATCATGGCCACAGTGATTTCTCACTTTCTCTTTCTCTCTCTTTTTCCCCCTGGTGAGCACTTGCACCCTATAGCAAAAGGGAAAAAAAAGTTTAAAAGAGAATGATAGAAGAAGAGTCTTCTTGCAGACACTTCGTGTTTTTTGTCTCTTCCAAAGATTGAGCTGCTTGAGGCCCAAGACAGTGTTTTAAATGGTTTGTCATTGCATCCCAGTGCCTTCCATAGCGGTGGATGAAAAGTAAGGAAAGGAATTTACTCTCCTACCTGTCATACAGGAGAGACAGAAAGAAGAGTATTGGTGCTTCTTCCTCAGAGGAGGACAGGATATGCAGATGACAAAAATTAACTAGAAAACTAGAGGGAATAATTAAGTGTGTAAGTTTCAGTGGTTTCAGAGGAAGGAGAAACTCCTTATTGTTATGATTCCTGTTAACATTCTTAAGTCATACCTGAGTGGGTATGAGTGATTACTGTACACATTTTCCTTAACAGTATTGGTTAGATACTCAATACAAGCTTACTGACTCAAATTCAAACCTATCTTGGAATTGCTACTCAATGGCAGAAGGAACTGCAGTGAGATGTTTACAGACCTGAGTGGTAACAACCAGGATGTCCTCCTCATTTTCTGGACGGAACTGGAAAGGGATACTTGCTCCTCGGACCACGCCATCTTGATCCACATAGCAGAACTGGTAATACTCATCATCCTTGGGCAGGTAATAAGCTGAAAACATGGCACAATTTTTAACCCAAAATAAGGGTCTATTCAGGAAAGTAAAAATCTGGAAGTCTTTTTACCTGCCCCAGAAAACTCAAGTTCAAGGGAATTAATTAGTCTTGGCTGCTGTCCTCAACACCTCTGATCCAGTATTTTTCTCACCTTTGAATTGGACTTCCAGCTGTCTTGCTGATTCCTTGTTTAAGTCAATGGGCAAAGTAACCCACATGAAAGTATAATATTCACGGGTTGTCTTCCATCCCACCTGCAATGACAAGAGGCTCTCATTCAGCACCTGAAAGGGCTCAGAGGAAAATCTTTATTTGGGCTATGTCTTAAAATGCATTTTTAAAAAAATTATTTAATTTTGTTTACTATTCATTCATTTTATTTTGGCCAGAAAGAGATCCAGAGAGAGAGGGAAAGTGAAAAAGTAAGCCACCAGGTCCAGGACTCCAACTGTGGTCAGCCATGTGGGAGTGCCCAGCACCTTAACCACCATGCCATCTACTGGTCCCAAAGTGCATTTTTTTTTTTGAGAGATTTTTCACTGTAGGGCGCGTGCGCTCGCCAGACAGACAGAGAGAGACATAGAGACAGAAAGCGAAAAATCACCCCCCAGGGGGGATGGTCACGCCGCAATCCCTTCTCCTCCATTCTTCTCTCGGGATCTTGGGCACGCACGCACACGTGCCCGGCGTGAGTTTTAAGCCACCAGGTCCGGGACACGAACCGCGGTCGACTACGTGGGAGTCCAGTGACATAGCCATTACGCTAACTGCTGGTTCCCGTAAAGTGCATTTATTTTTGAGGCTGGCAGGTGGCATGGTGGTTAAGGTTGCTGGACTCCCACATGACTGACCATGGTTCGAGTCCTGACCTGAGAAGGGACTGTGGCGTGGCCATCCCCCTGGGGGGAGATTTCTTGCTTTCTGTCTTTCTGTCTCTCTCTGTCTGTCTGACGAGCACATGTGCCCTATAGCAAAAGCCTCTCAAAATAAATAAATAAATGTAAACAATTTTTTTTTAAATTTAGTTTTTATTTGTATACATTGAAAATACAACAAAATGAGTTCATTGTGATAAGATTTACACACCATAGATCAAATCTTGCTTTTCAATTTATGACAACTATATATGGGAAAATGTATGATACAACTAAAAATTGAGGTGCAACTACATGCACTTCAAAATACCAGTCCTAGGGCCAGCAGGTGGCATGGTGGTTAAGGCGCTGGACTCCTACATGGCCGACCGCAGTTTGAGTCCTGGACCTGGCAGCTTGCTTTCTCACTTTCCCTCTTTATTTTTTTGGAGAGGTTTTTCCTTTAGGCTGCATACACTCACTGGAGAGAGAGAGAGAGAGAGACAGAGTCAGTGAGAGGGAAAGATTTTTTTTGGAGATGGTTATGTTGAAATCCTTTCTCCATTCTCCTCCTAGGATCTTAGGCATGCATGCACAAGTTCCTGGTGAGTTTGGCCATGTAGGAGTCTAGTGACATAACCACTATGTTATCTGCTGGCTCCTCACATTTCCTATAGCAAATTTAAAAAATAATAAAAAATAGGGAGGACCGGCAGTTGGCATAATGGCTATGTAGCTGGATTCCCATGTAGTCAACCGCGGTTCAAGTACCAGACCCGGTGGCTTGGACTCACGCAGGCGCGTGTGGGTGTGTGCCCAAGATCCTGAGAGGAGAATGGAGGAGAAGGGACTGTAGTGTGATCATACCCCCCCAGGGGTGATTTCTCGCTTTCTGTCTCTCTGTCTCTTGTGCCCTATAGTAAAAAACCTCTCCAAAAAAATTAATAATAGTAATAA